GCCTCTGATGTCATCAGTCTAAGCCCCTCCCCTCAGGGCTGCGTCCTGAGCCCCCTGCCGTTCACCCTGATTATACACAACTGAGAACCGGCCTAACCACGCTCCACTGCTCATCAACAGCTCAGCTGTAGAGGTGGTCAGCAGCACCACATTCATCACAGCATTCCATGCAGATCCAGCAGGTTTCTGCAACAGCTTCTTCCCCACCGCCATCAGACTGATGAACTGATGAAAAGAAAACTCTAAATCATGTCACAGACTCTGCATCACACTGATAACACCAAACCAGAAAGAGCTAAACTCATTTGCCTTTTGCACCATGTTTTTTTTTTCTCCCACACTGTTTACATTTGATCACTATTAAATTTTATGAGATGGAAATGTATATTTCACAGAAAGGCTGCTGCTCATTTACTGTATGAAAGCTGTACAAAGCAAAATTTCATGTTTTATACACTCTATGTATACAAAATAATGGTTCAACAGAGCTATGGCTCTTGGTGAGTTTGGCAACTGTATTAAAAAGATATCTAGAATTATTCTTATTCTCTGTTAATGAGGAGAAATATGCTGGTCCTGCTTTACAAAGGGTCCTCTTATACAGCAGTAAACCATTTTTCCAGACTAGGAAGGATTCCTGCAGGCATATGGAGCGATATTTTCTCTCCAGTTTCCTAGCATTTTGCTTCAAAGTACGCAGCTCTGCATTAAACCAGGGAGCCAGCTTTCTATTTTTTTAAGTTTTTCTTTTTCAAAGAGGCTGCATTGTCTAAAGGGTCGCCCTACTGGTTGCTAGCTTTCAATTCCATATCTTCAAAGCGTCATGGGGGTTTGGTGCTTATCTGGCAACAGCTGTCTTAACCAGGGTAACATGGCTAGGCAATATAGAGAGACAGCAGACTGGCAACCATGAAAACACAAATTCTCAACCACTATTTCAGAAATAATCAAACTTTTTTAATGGTAGAGGGGGGAACACGAGAAAACATGTAAGTGCCAAAAAAGAAAAGCAACAACTGGGATTGATGGATGGATGGATGGATGGATGGATGGATGATGGATAGATGGATAGATGGATGGATGGATGGATGGATGGATGGATGGATGGATGGATGGATGGATGGATGGATGGATGATGGATAGATGGATGGATGACGGATGGATGATGGATGGATTGTGGATGACGGACGGATGGATGGATGGAAGGATGGATAGATGGATGGATGACGGATGGATGGATGGATGGATGGATGGATGACGGATGGATGATGAGGCTCTCTCTGTTCTCAGCCAACAGTCTGTTTTTCTGTTCCTATGCCTGTAATAAAGTATAACACTCCCTCCACCCACCCTTTACCCTCCCTCCTGCTCCCTCCACCCTACCTTCACCCTCCCTCCTGCTCTCTCCACCCTACCTTCACCCTCCCTCCTGCTCTCTCCACCCTACCTTCACCCTCCCTCCACCCTCCCTCCTGCTCCCTCCACCCTACCTACACCCTCCCTCCTGCTCCCTCCACCCTACCTTCACCTCCCTCCTGCTCCCTCCACCCTACCTTCACCCTCCCTCCTGCTCCCTCCACCCTCTCTCCCACTCCCTCCCTCCCCAGTTACGCTTCCTGCTGCTGTTTAGTCGCCAGGGAAAGCTGCGGCTGCAGAAATGGTTTGTGGCAACATCGGAGCGAGAGAAGAAGAAGGTGATCCGTGACATGATGCTGTTAGTGATGCCTCGTCAGCCTCGAACCTGCAACTTCCTGCAATGGAAGGACCTAAAGATTGTTTACAAAAGGTGGCAGCACAACACAGGATGACACCAAACACTTTTTATTTGCTTTTAAATGTTAAATATGAACAGAAAAGTATATATTTAATGTTTTTTTCTATAAAATTTTCCTTTTTTATTTAACAAGTCATTTTTTTTTTTCAAAAACACCAGCAGACCATTAAGCAGCAGATAGTCACTTCCTTAAACTGGTTGAACTTTTGTCTAGTTTATTCATTAATCAGTAAGACCAGTGAATCCCTACCAGTCATCCTATCATTAGCTATCATTAGCTATCATTAGCTAGTATTAGTTATCATTAGCTAGTATTAGCTATCATTGGCTATCATTAGCTAGCATTACCTGGCATTAGCTAGCATTAGCTACAATGCCAACTGATAATACACCATTTGAATGTTTTTGCATTTTCTTGTTTTTGATTTCAGATATGCTAGTTTGTATTTCTGCGCCGGTCTGGAGGAGCAGGATAATGAGCTGCTTGCTTTGGAATTGCTGCACCGATACGTTGAGTTGCTGGATAAATACTTTGGAAATGTAAGTTGTCCCTTCATGCAGCATTTCTGACTTACTGCAATTAGAGCCTCTCTTCAGGCAAACTTCAGTTGAGAGAAGCTAAAAGATCTTTATTTTGGGCTTCTTTGGTGTTTGATTCCATGATGAACCCTGAACAGAAAAGAGAGTTCCCATTTCTGGCCCTCTGGAATTGCATTGCCTAGATGGGAACGCCGTTTTTTTTTCCCATTGGTCCCTTGATTTTACGTTATTCCATCATGTTCTACTCACCCATATATACGTGTCATTTTGTGTCACTTGGAGCCGTGTATGATGTCATCCATGTGGCGGACTGGAGTTGTGACAGGCAGCCCGTACAGGATGAATGAACGGTAACCGGCGCACAGGGATGACATCATATACACGCCGCTTTGTTTTTAAAAGATATAAATATAAAACTCTAACATCACGGATGACTTTTCACGTGAAGCAGGAGGACTACAGATTG